TGCAGATGACACCACCCTTATGGCAGAAAGTGAAGAAGAACTAAAGAGCCTCTTGATGAAAGTGAAAGGGGAGAGTGAAAAAGTTGCCTTAAAGCTCAACATTCAGAAAACTAAGATCATGGCACCTGGTCCCATCACTTCATGGCAAAGAGATGGGGAAACAGTGGAAATAGTGGAAGACTTTATTATTTTGGGCTCCAAAATCACTGCAGATGGTGACTGCAGCCATGAAATTAAAAGACACTTGCTCCTTGAAAGAAAAGTTATGACCAACCTAGACAGTATATTAAAAAGCAGAGATATTACTTTTTCAACATTGTTCCATCTAGTCAAAGCTGTGGTTTTTCCAGTAGTCATGTATGGATGTGAAAGTTAGATTATAAAGAAAGCTGAGCACCAAGAATTGATGCTTTTGAACTGTGGTGTTGTTCTCCACAGCTTGAGAGTCTCTCTTAGGAGTCCACTGGACTGCAAGGAGATCCAACCAGTCCCTCCTAAAGGAAATCTGTTCTGAATATTCATTGGAAAGACTGATGCTGAAGCTGAAACTCCAATACTTTGGTCACCTCATGTGAAGAGCTGACTCATTTGAAAAGACCCTGATGCTGGGACAGGTTGAAGGTGGAAGAAGAAGAGGATGAGATGGTTGGATGATATCACTGACTCAATGGACATGAGTTTGAGTAACCTCCAGGAGTTGGTGATGGAGAGGGAAGCCTGGTGTGCTGCAGTCCATGGGGTCATGACTGAGCAACAGAACTGAACTGAACTGATCCATGAGCACAGAATATTTTTCCATTCCTTTGTGTTGTCTTCAATTTATCATAGATTTATGTCAATATTTTCAAACGCTTTTTCTGCATCTATTGAGATCATCATGTATTTTTAATCTTTTGTTAATATGATGTATCACATTGATTTATTTGTCCTTATTCAACTATTCTTGAGTTCATGGATAAATCCCAATTGATGATGATATATGCTCCCTTTCTGGTTGTTTCTGTAATTTCTTCTTATATTCTCTTTCCTTGTGGTTTGATGATTTTCTTTACTGTTATATTTGAATTCTTTCTTTTTACTTTTAGTATATACTATAGGTTTCTCTTTGTACTTGCAAATCTATATATACAGCAGTGTATTCAATAGTTGCTTAAATTTTCAAGAATTATGAAAGAACAACCTTTTTACCTCTCCATGTTTTATGTTTTTTATTTAATATTTTTCATCTTTTTGCATTGTGTATTCCTTAACTACTTATTGTATTTGTGGCTGTTTTTATGCCTTTGTCTTTAACTTTCACAGCTTTTTAAATGTTTGATCCACTTCCTTTGCTATTTATTTGCTTTTACTAGTGAAATTTTGTTCTTTTGTATATTTTCTGATTTCTTGCTATGACCTTTCTTTCTACTTAAAGAAATCCCTTTATCATTTCTTATAAAGCTAATTTAGTAGTGATGAATTCTTACTTTTTGTTGTCTGGGAAATTCTTTATCTCTCCTCCAATTCTGAATGATAATATTGCCTGCTAGAGTATTCTTGGTTGTAAGGTTTTTTAGCACATTAACTGTATCATGCCCCTCTTTTCTGACCCATAAAGCTTTTGCTGAAAAATTGGCTTTAGCCTAGGGGTTTCCTTGTATGTGACTAGTTGTTTCTTTTTGCTGCCTTTAGCATTCTCTCTTTATTTTTAAATTTTTCCATTTTAATTGTAGTATGTCTTGGTGTGGCTGTCTTTGGGTTTATCTTATTTGGAATTCTCTGTGCTTCCTG